TATTACATGTTAATAACTTGATTGGAATTATAACCTTGAGTTGACAGTTTGATACTTTGAAAATTTTGAGCCAGCCCTACCCCCAAGGGCTGTAGGGTGGGGCTCAAGGGAGTCAGTGTGCTAAAATTTCTTCATTTTCCTTGTTTAGAATCAGAGGTGCTAGTTTCAAATCCTTTTTAGTCTGAAATCTGTATGCTTGATATTGAATAAGGTGGTTTTATTGTTTTTTGTCACTTTGAATAATATTTCTGTTCATGTTAAAAACAAAATCAACTCTCGATCTGTATAAATATATCAGGTGACCGTTAAGGCCCATGGGCCTCTTGTTAAGTTATACAGTAATGAAAGAGGTTGATGTTGAAGCAGGTTTTGATGTTTTTAAGTTCATACAGTAATGATAGAGGTTGATATTGAAGCAGTTTTTGATGTTTTTAGCTGATACAGTAATGATGGAGGTTGATGTTGAAGCAGGTTCTGATGTTTTAAGTTCATACAATCATGATAGAGGTTGATGTTGAAGCAGGTTTTGATGTTTTTAGCTGATACAGTAATGATGGAGGTTGATGTTGAAGCAGGTTCTGATGTTTTAAGTTCATACAATCATGATAGAGGTTGATGTTGAAGCAGGTTTCGATGATTTAAGTTCATCCAGTAATGATGGAGGTTGATGTTAAAGCGGGTTTTGATGTTTTAAGTTCATACAATAATGATAGAGGGTGATGTTGAAGCAAGTTTTGATGTTTTAAGTTCATACAGTAATGATGGAGGTCGATGTTGAACCGGGTTTTGATGTTTTAAGGTCATACGGTAATGATGGAGGGTTATGTTGAAGCAAGTTTTTATGTTTTAAGTTCATACAGAAATGATAGAGGTTGATATTGAAGCAGGTTTCACACTAAACATACAGTAATGATAGAGGTTGATGTTGAAGCAGGGTTTGATGTTTTAAGTTCATACAGTAATGATGGAGGTCGATGTTGAACCGGGTTTTGATGTTTTAAGTTCATACAGTAAGGATGGAGGTTGATGTTGAAGCAGGTTCTGATGTTTTACGTTCATACAATCATGATAGAGGTTGATGTTGAAGCAGGTTTTGATGTTTTAAGTTCATACAATAATGATAGAGGGTGATGTTGAAGCAAGTTTTGATGTTTTAAGTTCATACAGTAATGATAGCGGTTGATGTTGAAGCTGGGTTTGATGTTTTAAGTTCATACAGTAATGATAGCGGTTGATGTTGAAGCTGGGTTTGATGTTTTAAGTTCATACAGTAATGATGGAGGTTTATGTTGAAGCAAGTTTTTATGTTTTAAGTTCATACAGAAATGATAGAGGTTGATATTGAAGCAGGTTTTGATGTTTTTAGCTGATACAGTAATGATGGAGGTTGATGTTGAAGCGGGTTTTGATGTTTTAAGTTCATACAATAATGATAGAGGGTGATGTTGAAGCAAGTTTTGATGTTTTAAGTTCATACAGTAATGATGGAGGTTTATGTTGAAGCAAGTTTTTATGTTTTAAGTTCATACAGTAATGATAGAGGTTGATGTTGAAGCAGGTTTTGATGTTTTTAAGTTCATACAGTAATGATAGAGGTTGATGTTGAAGCTGGTTTTGATGTTTTAAGTTCATACAGTAAGGATGGAGGTTGATGTTGAAGCAGGTTCTGATGTTTTAAGTTCATACAGTCATGATAGAGGTTGATGTTGAAGCAGGTTTCGATGATTTAAGTTCATCCAGTAATGATGGAGGTTGATGTTAAAGCGGGTTTTGATGTTTTAAGTTCATACAATAATGATAGAGGGTGATGTTGAAGCAAGTTTTGATGTTTTAAGTTCATACAGTAATGATAGAGGTTGATATTGAAGCAGGTTTCACACTAAACATACAGTAATGATAGAGGTTGATGTTGAAGCTGGTTTTGATGTTTTATGTTCATACAGTAATGATAGAGGTTGATGTTGAAGCAGGTTTTGATGTTTTAAGCTGATACATACTAAACATACAGTAAGGATGGAGGCGTAGAAAAGGTGAAAATATGAATGAATCTATACAGGAAAGAATTTTTACCTGAAAAAGCCTTATCACAGTATTCACAATTTCAGATTCCGACTACGGTAAGTGAATGTTGACCCCAGGTCATGATGATCTGATTCAGGCATTTTGTCGGTCACATAATTGGATTCCATTGGTATTTTGTTGAATATTTTTAGGATTATTTGATTTTTCTTCCGTTGCAGCTCCTTTTTTTAGGAGCATCTCAGTTAGTGACAAGTTTTTAAACAAGTGAAGTTTCTTTGTTTTATCTAGTCACTACATGTTGAAGTGTGAGAAGTGTTTTCCTGTCTGACACACCAACTTTTAGAGGAGAGTGAAGTAGAGAATCAATGGAAACCAAACAGGAAGTAACTGGCTTCATGCTGTTCATCCAGCAACGCTTATCAACCAAACTGTAAATTTAAATAGTTTCACTTAACTATTTTGTGGTGAAAGGGGAAAATATATACATGTAATGTATTTAATTAAAAAGTCTTAAAGATATCTTTATATGGCGTATTATACTTATAATAAATTACTTTATTGTAAAAGGATGGCTTTACTTCCTTTTGAATTATGACAACCTGCCTACTACTCAATTACACACACATCGCTACAGTTACAACTCGGTCCTTATTGTTGAGGTCAAGTTATTGTGCAAAAACCATCAACCTAACAAAGCACGATATACTTATTAGTAATGCATGGAGTTTGCTTTATATCTACAAACTTAGCCAAAGTAAGTCTTTGTATATTGCTTGCCAAGTCTCATCGAAATTGACAAATATTTGAGCAAATTTTCGTGCAGAAAACTCAAGTGTGGATGGACAGACGCAACCAAAACCATAACAACACATTCTAATGCAATGGAGAGTGAGATCAAACATCTACTAGTAGCATGTTCAGTAAGGTTCAGCATACCCGCGTTAATGGATTCCTTAGTGCAATTCACTACTCCAGCCATACACAGAATCAAATGGGGATCTCAGTAACTTTAACCAGTTTACAGGTTACAGCCAATCTAGTGGGTCGTTATCAAAGCCTTCTGTCAAAATTTTGACTGGTGATCAATCCTTACATTTCGAAAGAAAAATATTCCTGTGCAGAATCCATGTTTAGAAGTGTTACAGTAAAGAAGAGTTCCTCAAGGAAAGATGTTATCAAAAGCCACTAACTTCCTATGTACTTGGTTGTATCAAAACATTTCTCATAATTGAGGTGTAGGGGTTGTTTTTATGTGTACGAGAAGAATTCTTACAACTTGAACAGTCAGCAGTACATTAATATAATATATATGCATGATTTCCATAATACTGTTCTTCAAATAAATTTCCCTGCTTTTTGAGCATTTGGTTCTTACATAAAAATCATGATGTGAAAGATGACTGGAAGCCTACCTGTGGACACTCTCCACACAGCACCTCATGTGGTACCGCCGGCACCACCGCCGATTCTTCCCCTTCATGGCCTTGCTGACCTTGCGTGTCCTCTGTTCACACCTGTCCCATGTGTCCCCAGTGACCAGCCCTACACCGTACTCTTTACCCTGCTGGCAACACTCCAGCTCAACCTGGGCCCTCAGCAACTTTTTCTTCAGACCTACAGATGTAACATACAGATAAGTCTACTTAAACCCAAAGTTACAGGTAAGTCTACTAAAACTCAAAGTTACAGGCAAGTCTACTCAAACCCAAAATTACAGGTAAGTCTACTTAAACCCAAAGGTACAGGTAAGTCCACTTAAACCCAAAGTAACGAGCAAGTCTACTCAAACCCAAAATTACAGGTAGGTTTACTTAAACCCAAAGGTACAGGTAAGTTCACTTAAACCCAAAGTTACAGGCAAGTCTACTCAAACCCAAAAGGTACAGGTAAGTCTACTTAAACCCAAAGTTACAGGTAAGTCTACTTAAACTCAAAGTTACAGGTAAGTCTACATAAACCAAAAGTTACAGGTAAGTCTACTTAAACCCAAAGGTACAGGTAAGTCTACTTAAACCAAAAGGTACAGGTAAGTCTAACTAAACCCAAAGTTACAGGTAAGTTGATTCAAACTTACAGATATGTTTACTTAAACCAAAAGTTCAAGGCAAGTCTGGTCAAACCCAAATTACTGGATCAGTTTACTCAAACTCAAAAATCTGGGAAAATTGTATTGAAACCTTCATTTATAGACAAGTCTATTCAAAGTCAAATTTGCAGGTAAGTCAACTCAAACTCAAAGCTTAGACAAACTTCGTTTACAATTCAAATAGTTTACTCAAACCTAAATTTACAGCTTAGTCTGCTGAACCCATGCACCATGAATAGTTTCGGATGGATGTTGCTACAGAGACCATTACAAGTTTTGGATTACCTGTGGTGGTCTGTGTGAGTGACTGAGTCTGAGGTGTAGGAACCATTTCCCCCAGATCTTCTTTAGGGGGACTCTGCAGAGGGGATACCTCCTGGGTGACAGGTTGGTATCCCTGCAGGTTGGTTTTGTGACTTGGCAAATCTGGCATCTTTTCAGGCTCCTTATGAAAATTTGATGCTAATGTAGGGATCTTATCAGCTGCTACGTCCTTGTTTTCTGGCTCCAACTCCTCAGGATATGTATTTAACTGAACAAGCTAAAACAGAAGTAAAACCACCAGTTTTAAATAATGTCTCGATAGTCATACATGTACCATGCTATCCTGATTATATCAGATCCCTGTACTTAAAAAAAGTTATCTTGATCTTCAATGGATTGCTTAGACATTGACAATGTACCAAGACAGAAGCACAATGATTTAGAATCTGTACCTCTTCACTCAACCTGTTGGGATAATCCTCTAAGTCATTTACAGGGTCAGATTCGTCAAGGACATTTACACCTGTCACCATGGCAACATCTGTGTGTACATCACTCTGGGGTGGAACACCTTCACCCTGGTGCCCCATAGCAAAACAATCGTAGCGGCGTTCACCTGGAATTGGGGATGGTTTTTACTCATTTGGACAAAGGGGACAAGCCCCATATACATGACAATCATGGATTAGATAAAAGCCAGTTCATAGGTATTCATAAATGAAAGATTATTTGCTAGAAAGTACAAATAAAGATACAATTTGTAATAAGAATGTTTCATTAAAAGCAATTCCAACTTTGGAAAGAGAAAAGGGAAAACCTTACCTAGTCGCCAGCAACAGTTGTCACGCCGCTCAGTCATGTAGGCTTTACTACGAACACTGAAGGGCATGTGTAGAGTGTTGGCACACAGGCGATCGATACGGCGACGGCGAATATCTCCCAGACAATCGCTCTTATCAGTACCTGTCTGTGTATTAACAACAGTCGGTGTATCAGTACAGGGTTTTAGTCCTGGCATATATAATTATATAATATATTTCACTCATTAAGTCATAGTTAAAACATGAATTGTTTAGGGTGGGGTTAGGAGTATCGTGAGCTGAGAGTAGAAACCCTGGGTAGTCTTAGGATTATTGACTATTACCAGTGTTTGCTAATCAAAACTCAACAACTGTGTTTCAGGAAAATAAACAAATGCTTGACATTACTGAGAATTAAACCACCATCCAGTACAAACATTGTTAGTAAGACTGTAAGTGCACACATGCATATGGACAAAACTTCAGTCTAAGAAATGTTTTAGTGCTCACGTTGATCCATATTATTTATCCATATTTAAGTCTTGACCTCTTTCGATACCTTTGTTATTTCCCTAGAGTGTTTGACCTCTTTCATTACCTTTGTTATTTCCCTAGAGTGTTTGACCTCTTTCGTTACCTTTGTTATTTCCCTAGAGTGTTTGACCTCTTTCGTTACCTTTGTTATTTCCCTAGAGTGTTTGACCTCTTTCGTTACCTTTGTTATTTCCCTAGAGTGTTTGACCTCTTTCGTTACCTTTGTTATTTCCCTAGAGTGTTTGACCTCTTTCGTTACCTTTGTTATTTCCCTAGAGTGTTTGACCTCTTTCGTTACCTTTGTTATTTCCCTAGAGTGTTTGACCTCTTTCGTTACCTTTGTTATTTCCCTAGAGTGTTTGACCTCTTTCGTTACCTTTGTTATTTCCCTAGAGTGTTTGACCTCTTTCGTTACCTTTGTTATTTCCCTAGAGTGTTTGACCTCTTTCGTTACCTTTGTTATTTCCCTAGAGTGTTTGACCTCTTTCGTTACCTTTGTTATTTCCCTAGAGTGTTTGACCTCTTTCGTTACCTTTGTTATTTCCCTAGAGTGTTTGACCTCTTTCGTTACCTTTGTTATTTCCCTAGAGTGTTTGACCTCTTTCGTTACCTTTGTTATTTCCCTAGAGTGTTTGACCTCTTTCGTTACCTTTGTTATTTCCCTAGAGTGTTTGACCTCTTTCGTTACCTTTGTTATTTCCCTAGAGTGTTTGACCTCTTTCGTTACCTTTGTTATTTCCCTAGAGTGTTTGACCTCTTTCGTTACCTTTGTTATTTCCCTAGAGTGTTTGACCTCTTTCGTTACCTTTGTTATTTCCCTAGAGTGTTTGACCTCTTTCGTTACCTTTGTTATTTCCCTAGAGTGTTTGACCTCTTTCGTTACCTTTGTTATTTCCCTAGAGTGTTTGACCTCTTTCGTTACCTTTGTTATTTCCCTAGAGTGTTTGACCTCTTTCGTTACCTTTGTTACTTCCCTAGAGTGTTTGACCTCTTTCGTTACCTTTGTTACTTCCCTAGAGTGTTTGACCTCTTTCGTTACCTTTGTTATTTCCCTAGAGTGTTTGACCTCTTTCGTTACCTTTGTTACTTCCCTAGAGTGTTTGACCTCTTTCATTACCTTTGTTACTTCCCTAGAGTGTTTGACCTCTTTCGTTACCTTTGTTATTTCCCTAGAGTGTTTGACCTCTTCAGTGTGTCGGGTTAGTTTCCTAGATAGTAATTGATCTGTGTAACGTAGGAGACTCACCAGTATACAACACTGTTGAACCTGGTATACACGTTGACGAAGTGAGATTTGAAGAGCGTCCCGCTCCAGAACAGTCATCAGGTTGAGGTCCATCTTCCTTCTCTGTAAGAAGTGGCCTTCGTTGGCAATCTGGTCATCTGAACTACTGACCATGTGGCAAAGCAAGTTCTCACGCTCAGAGTGACTTATCTACAAATATGAAATGAGCAATATCCAGTATTTCATCAACAAGATATCTGTGTTAACTTTTAGAAAGTCTTTGTAGACCAATGCATTTCTTACTCCAACCGAACCACCAAAGTACCTTAAAACCACTGGGGTCATTGGAGGTCAATTCACTAGTTTCTTGGTCACTTTTGTAATTAAACTGCATATTGCTACACAATTTAAAAGTTACATTTTTTCTCACAACTTAACAGTTACATTGGAGAAAAAACTGGTGATGATGTGTGATTGAAGGGAACCAGAATACAAACCTTGGATATTATTGTGGACATGTGGCGTCGACACACTCGCTTGGTCAGGTACCCATCAATAACATTCTCATTATCCAGGTAAAAGATGTTGTCAGCGGACTTAACGCGAGCCCTGTAAAGAGTATTTCATCAGTACATGTATTGCAGTATCACCACACCTGAAGTGAGAATTATAATCTAAATATTGTCAACTTTCTTCTTTTCTCAAACTGTGTATGGCTGTGTTGAAGCATGCTGTTTATAAACAGGCGATGGTATGTTATCTGATACAGATAAGTATATCACATCTAACAACAATAAAGGTAAGAAGAACAGGTAATCATAATATTTACCGGAGGTTGACACAGCCACAGGTGGGTGCAGTCCACTGGAATGTGAATGTGTGTTCAAACTCTCGTGTGTTCTTGAGCACCATGTGGTCACATCCCTGGGGCTGGTAGTAATACTGGGATAAGATGCTGAAGTTTCCATGTTGGCAGGTTCTGCTTTCAGACGACACTGAGAGCAAAACATCACCAAAGGTTTGACTTGGGTCCTGGGCACGAATGTAGACTGAAACAAAGTTATATGTGATCCATCATTTACACATATTCAAAGATATCAGAAAGTCAGGATATCATTTGCAAACAAGTGTATTTCCACATAACTACAAAAGCTTGTAAACAAAACTATTTTTTTGAGGAAACTATATCTATCTCAGTTTCTACCTATTATCCAATGTAAATCTGTGTCCAGCACATTGACACCAGCGATTATGGGAAACAATAGGCCCAGAGGGCCTGTATCGCCGACTTGGATATCCATGCAATGATGGCAATATTTTAATTAAAAGTAATATGGCAAAGTTAGCTTTTGTATTTATTGTTATAGAGTGGGGATCACACACAAAAATTCCATGTTATGAATAGGGACTAATTCCCTTTTCAAATAAGCAGTTAAGGAGGAGAAGTCGTTTGAAGAAATTGTAGACGGACGTCGCGGTATGTCATAAGTTTACACCTTGGTCGACATAAAAACTCCTGGCTATGTGTAAGGTTGGTATTACTCCTAGCTATGTGTAAGGTTGGCATTACTCCTAGCTATGTGTAAGGTAGGTATTACTCCTGGCTATGTGTAAGGTTGGCATTACTCCTGGCTATGTGTAAGGTAGGTATTACTCCTGGCTATGTGTAAGGTAGGTATTACTCCTGGCTATGTGTAAGGTTGGTATTACTCCTGGATATGTGTAAGGTTGGTATTACATGTGTTTGTCTACCATTTATTTCGGACAGGAGCATATAATAGTACTTACTTGTGTAGGTGTGACCGGGCACATAACCACTCCTTTTGTGTTGTAAGTCTAGTCGGTACCTAGGTTTTTCCTCATGTATTACATTCAAATGTCGTAAACCACCTGATGGAAGTCCGGTGGAGGGACACTGTCCAGTCTGCCCGGGGTCCCGGGAAGGTCGCGCATGTATTAGCCCTGCAAATTCACCAATGTTATTGTTATTTAATAACTTTTTCAATATGAAACATGACTAGAATTATAGTAGGTACAAAACATTCAGTATAATCTGTACACTAAAAAAGAAACGAAGATCTAAAATTGACGTTTGCTTTCCAGAGGAGGAAATGATTGTGATAAAAATGGGAATTAATTTATCAAAAATTGCTACAATTTCAAATGCAAATAATATTTAGGCGCGGAATTTAATTTTAAAACAACGAATTTTGATCGAGAAACCCGTTCCTTAAGGCGTCCCCAGATAAAATATAACATATAAAAATCCTAACAACTTCACCATAAAAAGTATATCACAATCGTGTTTGTTATACTGGGATCTATAAAATGAAACAAAACCAGAGAGACGCAAGATGGAAAAGGAAGGACATTGTAAAGAATGGGTTCCATAACAGCAGACACGTATATTACATGTAATAATATACACGTCTCGATAACAAAATTCAAGTTCAGGTTCATTTAATAGTTTAGATTTTCTACTGAAATAGAATGACTCTCGATTGAATGTATGAAGGAAACTATCTGGATATATTTATGAAGCCAACAAGATAAGATCTTTACAGTTTTCATTCTCTGAATACTTTTAAAGCAAATAAGATAAATAAAATGTTGAAACTTTGAATTATAGGCGATTTATTGTGTAAATCCGTAGATGTCCAACAAGATACAAGTATGGAATTGTTTCATGTGATGGTACTGACCAATTACGGGCCGCGTGGTCAACACGTGGCAGGGATTGGCGGGAATTGTGAACAGAACATTCCAAGAGTACAGAGTATTGTTAAAAAACTATAATTAATCAGCAGCAGAAAATTGATTTCATTTTCTATTTGACTGCCAAACACATTTTGATGTGATGAATAGTAAACACAATCCAATTGTTCTTTGATCATAACGTTTTGTTGGGTAAAAAAGGAGAAACAGTTCATTTATATAAACATGTATGTTTATGTACGTAGTCCTATTGATTGAAGTATCTATTTTAAGATCGTTCTTCTAAAACATTTCAATGTTTATCAACTGAAAAAATAGCACATCCCGGGGTAGAACTATCGTGTTTGCAGCCTGTTTAAATTCTGAATGGGTTTGTGACGAATCCTCTGCAATTCATAGCACAGTATAGTACGCAAGGACGCGTGTGTACCTTTAAAGTGTGGTAATGCCAAATATTGATAACACTGCATCATACAACAACTGGCCTTCTAGGATTCATCGGTGATGCTAGTGGCCGAAAATGTGACAAAGATATGTGTGTCGTTTTACTGATAGATATGGGTCGATATATAACACCTCCCTGTGATAACATATGTGTCGGCTGTTTACTCGATATGATATAGCATGATATAGGGTTAACAACTGAAATGTTACAGAAACCTGTGTAATTAAAGCAGACTGACAATATACTCTTCTGGACGTTTTAAGGTAAACATGAGTATTTGTTAACCCGAGAAAGGTAATATCACAGAGGCCGAAAGCAACATTAAATATAGAATGTTACGTACCTTGTTTGGCCAGCTGAATTACCAAAAGTAGCAGAATCCTTCCCAACATCGGTGGTATGGCAGTCCTTAACGTGGTTCAGCGTAAATATCAGCTGAGAATGCTTTCCCAGGGGTGCGCGGGCTTATATACCAGGGAGGTCACGCCACGATGGAGCGCGTGCAACACTCATGTATACACTGTCAAGCGAATCTTCCTATAAAATACTAAATCACAATATGTCCTTTCTCTAAAAACAAATTTTAATACTTGAAAATTTGTTTTAATATTTTATACTTTTTGTAGCAGTTGTGCGTGCTTTTGATATTGGTTTTGCTTTTCTAAATTTTGTTTAAACATTGAATTAAAAGCCCGTCACTTATGATCGCCTCGTGGGGCCACTGTTATGATACAGTTATGCGACCGTCCATTGTGCACTCCCTTTTACTTGTAAACCCTGATATCTAGGGCGAGTTAATCCAAAACTCAATTGTCCGAGTACGGGCCGGTCCTCTATTGTAACCGATATAATGTACGTAAATACCTGTTTGGTTTTAGGATGAACATGAAGCACAATTTGAAGAATAACATCTGTACAGATACACGTTATTGTTTTTAATATCAACTATCTAATCTGACAGAAATTCGTTATATCACGGAGTTCGATAAAATATCGATTCATAAGTACTAGGTTACATATATTCATAATGTAATATGAGAGAACAATTGTGTTCCTGTCGTTACCGATGAACAGAAAGTGTAACTTTGCCCCGAAAGAAGCGCATCCCGTTGAACGAGAACACTAAGTCATTTAATTTTTTAAAAAAAAACGCACAGGAAACCCACGTATGATAGCATATCTACAAGTTGAGACCAGCTAGACAGGTTGTCAAGTATATACAAGTGAGAGTAACTAGACATGTTGCCAAGTAGTAACTAGACATGTTGTCAAGTATCTACGGGTGAGAGTAACTAGACGTGTTGTCAAGTATCTACGGATGAGAGTAACTAGACACGTTGTCAAGTATCTACGGATGAGAGTAACTAGACATGTTGTTAAGTATCTACGGATGAGAGTAACTAGACACGTTGTCAAGTATCTACGGATGAGAGTAACTAGACATGTTGTCCAGTATCTCCGGATGAGACTCCCTAGACATGTTGTCAAGTATCTACAGATGAGAGTAACTAGACATGTTATCAAGCATCTACGGGCGAGAGAAACTAGACATGTTGTCAAGTATCGACGGGGGAGAGTAACTAGACATGTTGTCAAGTATATACGGATGAGAGTAACTAGACATGTTGTGAAGTATCTACGGATGAGAGTAACTAGACACGTTGTCAAGTATCTACGGATGAGAGTAACTAGACATGTTATCAGGTATCGACGGGGGAGAGTAACTAGACATGTTATCAGGTATCGACGGGGGAGAGTAACTAAACATGTTGTCAAGTATCTACGGGCGAGAGTAACTAGACATGTTGTCAAGTATTTACGGATGAGAGTAACTAGACATGTTGTCCAGTATCTCCGGATGAGACTCCCTAGACATGTTGTCAAGTATCTACAGATGAGAGTAACTAGACATGTTATCAGGTATCGACGGGTGAGAGTAACTAGAAATGTTGTCAAGTATCGACGGGTGAGAGTAACAAGACATGTTATCAAGTATCTACGGGTGAGAGTAATTAGACATGTTATCAAGTATCTACTGGCGAGAGTAACTATAGACATGTTGTCAAGTATCTACAGATGAGAGTAACTAGACATGTTATCAGGCATCGACGGGTGAGAGTAACTAGAAATGTTGTCAAGTATCGACGGGTGAGAGTAACTAGACATGATGTCAAGTATCTACGGATGAGAGTAACTAGACACGTTGTCAAGTATCTACGGATGAGAGTAACTAGACACGTTGTCAAGTATCTACGGATGAGAGTAACTAGACATGTTATCAGGTATCGACGGGTGAGAGTAACTAGACATGTCATCAAGTATCGACGGGTGAGAGTAACTAGAAATGTTGTCAAGTATCGACGGGTGAGAGGAACTAGACATGTTGTCAAGTATCGACGGGGGAGAGTAACTAAACATGTTGTCAAGTATCTACGGGTGAGATTAACTAGACATGTTATCAAGTATCTACTGGCGAGAGTAACTAGACATGTTATCAGGTATCGACGGGTGAGAGTAACTAGAAATGTTGTCAAGTATCGACGGGTGAGAGTAACTAGAAATGTTGTCAAGTATCGACGGGTGAGAGGAACTAGACATGTTGTCAAGTATCTACGGGCGAGAGTAACTAGACATGTTATCAAGTATCTACGGGCGAGAGTAAATACATTTTTTACACAATTCAAAATTTTATTTGCACATTTGTAACTACAAAGTAGTTTGAAGGCAAAATAGAAAAACACAGTGAAATACATACATAGACATGTATATGTAGAAAAGTCACAAAGTGATTCCTTATATTTTTAATATGCATTAACATGAACAAAATTAACATGGCTCCAAATAGAAAATTTGAATTAAACATTTTTGCTGCAAAGTCCATACCTTATACTGTCAGCAAGCCCACTCTCCTCAGTTCTAGAGACTGATTAATGAATAAGCAAAAGTCCAGTATAAACTGTGAGTTGTTTGTCGGTAATATTGAGGTCAAATGATTGGTATCTAAGGTAACATCATTGTGATTAGGAATGCATTTTTGGAAATATTCTTTTCTGGCAGATTAATTAAGGGAACAGTGAAAAGAAGTGTACTTCATTTTCTAACACACCACATTTTTTACAGAGTCTCTGGTCTCTTGGTATACTTTTGAGACGCCCAATGGCTAGCTCCAGCTTGTGTTCACATAAACGAAATGAAGTAAACATTTTCCTTAAATTACTACTGGTAATGTTAAGGTATTTTTCAGGGACATACTCCACCTTAAGTCTTTATGCATGAATAATTTATTACTCTCGTTAAATGTTTTAGTTTATCAAAGAATCTTATCTCATATTTCTTTTTTATATATTTTGCTTGGTTTTAATTTTAAGTTGGTAATTACTGTATGATGCGTCAGGATCCTGTACAATTTGATGTAGATCAATGTTTAATGTCAAATCATTAACATAATTAAACCAGGTTTATGTGCCATTTTCATGTAAAGTTTTATTTAATAGATTAGCCTCCTTTATCAAAGGGTTTAAATTGTCTGAACCCAGCTCTGCTCTGGAGCCTAGATTTACTGCTCCTTTCCCAATCCCTAGCGTATGTTTACAGAATTTCAAAAGTACTTGCTCAAAAGGAGATTTATCAATAAAGGAGAAACTGCTTATTGCTATTACCTGATCTGATTTTTCTGCTTTACACATTTTGGTATAAATCCATGTACCATACTTCTGCATTATAAGTCAGGACAGGTTTTACAAGGGATTGAAAGAGTTTACACTGGGCATCTACTGGAAAGTTTGTGATATTTTCTGCATTTTATTTTTTTATTGCAAAAAGAACTTTAAGACCTTTGTTGGACAATTCCTACAGACGGTGTACATTTACCTGCTGTATTTCAGGTTACCAAGATATTTTTATTCTTTAGTCATGTCTATATTATAGTTACCAATATTAAATTTGTAGTTTTTGATAACACGGTTTGTTGAATTGAATAGCATTCCTTTTGTTTTCTGGGTATTTATTGAAAGTTTCCATCTATTGCAATATGTCTTTAAATCATTTAATGATTTTTGTAATCCTCGGCTGTTTCAGACAATATTAACTGAACATCTGCGAACATAAGGCAACCTATTTCCGAGTCGACAAGCTTTAAAGGATCGTTTTTTAATAGATCAGGAAGATCATTTACATATTGATTGAACAGAGAGGGACTCGTACTATCCCCACGCTTGAGTCCTCTAAAACTATCAAAGTAACGGAGAAGAACGAATTTAATTTAACGGCAGACGAAGATGTCTTGTACATATTACTAATGACTTGGAAGAGTTTGCTGCCGATACCATATCTAGCTAACTTATAGAGCAAACCTTTTCTCCATACCGAGTCAAAAGTCTTGTTAAAATCAACAAAACAGGCAAAGACTTTTTTCTTTTGGCCCTAAACATACTTGGTAGTGAGAGATTTAAGTACAAATAAGCTACCTGTTGTTCTTTGCTTTTTCCTGAAACCAAATTGAAGGTCGGATCATTTACCTGCCATAAATACAGTGAGTCTTTTGTTTAAAATAGAATTAAACAATTTACTGAGACAACTAATAAGGAATATACCTCTATAATTAGTTGGCAGGCTTTTATCTCCAGCTTTAAATATAGGAACCAAGTGTGATCTGCACCCCCTTTCTGGATAGAAACCACAATTCAAAATGATATTGAATAGTTTTGATAGATTATTCAGCATAACTGGAGAAGAGTACTTTTTGACCTCGTTTGTTATACTATCTGGGTCACAACTATTGCCACAATCTCCTTCATACTAATAGCTTGGTCAGTTATAAGTTTAGTATCAAGATTTGTAATTAGAGTGTCCAATTCTTGAGAAATATAATCATCAAATTCTGGATTGACTTTTTGTTTGTGACCCGGGTCCTTAAAGTGATCAACGAAAGCAGACGTGTATTATATGTGGTTACGGGGTGGGGATATTTCAAAGTTAATTTATGACTTTCCTACAGGTGTTACCAGACCCAATTGATGGTTAATTCTTATATTACGATTGCTTGTTTTTATTTCCAGCAGTTGTATATAAATCATATTCTTTAGGTTATAATGCGGTTGGATCTCAACCGTTGCAAAGTTATTAATTTACCCATGGACTTAGCAGAGACGTATAAAGCCAGTATGTCTGTGGACTAAGTCACCAGGGATAGGGGGCCGGAAACCGCAGCATTTAAATTCCTGGTAGCTTTACATGGGAATTCATCTCTTTGTGATTTAAGGTTATAGCGTGGGATGTCCACCGTGTACAAAAATAATATCGTTTAGGTCTCACCCCTCAGCCCCTATATTTTCAGAGAAGTGCACTCGCATTTTGCTCATGGAAAGAAATCGTTTAAAGTGATAGGGCAGGCCTAGTGCCAAATATTATCCCTTTTTGGTTCCACCCTTTAGCCCCCTAGGGGTCAGGCCAACAATTTTGAATCCCCATACCCTAGAGATGTTTCTTAGTTAATTTTATTCTGATTTATAATTTTGAAAATCGTAGAAAATCGCGCCTTGAAACATACGAGAGTTATAGCCCTTAGAGGTAGAACTCTTCTAACAAGGAGGAAAGGAAGGAGATTCGCAAAAATCCGAAGTCACGCTGAATTCAGAAGAAGCCGGTGCTTGTTTTGAAAAGTTATAAATTCGACATGGTAAGATAGTTTACATCAAAAGTCAAATTAATACATGTTAATGACAGTTGTGTAGTTTGATTTGATGCGTCTTGCTTGATGAAAGACAAAATCGAAATTACTTATCGTTGGTGACGTTCGCGGATTGGACAAAACAAAACTTTTTAAGCATTTCCTTCGGTTATAATCATCGACTTCCCGTCAATTGAAATATCTCAACATTTTTCACATTACACAACAGCCAGTTAAATAGGAATTTCTGAAGAAAATTCAGACTGATGTAGTTTCCAAACACAATTAAGACCATTAGTGTGTGCCTCAAAAATGTTCTCTAGCATCGGGTGACCCGTTTCTGAACCGTTCCAGGTAAAATTTGTCGAGTAAAACTAAGTTGAGCAATATTAAGCAGAAATGTTCGATACCTTGTTTATTATTCAATTTTAACTGAAAGGCAGTTTGCAATCACTCCCTTTTTTCTACGATGTTAATTTATTCAATCCTATGTTTTTATAGTACTATCTTCGTCTGTCAATACACCTATAATATATAATCATGGTTGGTAACCCTGTCCCCCTTGTAAAATGACCCAGTTACAGAAAACATGCGATTTTGTCGTAACCGTGCATAGTATGATGTCGGGAGCAGTTTAGATCGACAGGAAAATAATGGCATTATAATTTTCGGCAGACTTCATGAAACATCGAAAAATGGTAGAATTTCAGTTGTTCGGACACTGTGCTGTCCACAGTATAACACGCTTAATCCCTAGTGGGTAGCGCTAAACACACGATATGTCCGCTTTTCAATGTTGATACAGTGTTTCTAGGATAGGAAACAAACTCATTTGTATGATAGTTCATAGCACACATTGCATATACTTTGATATTGTTGTGGTCCAAAAAATGTAAGTGTACCAAGAGAAAATATTTTGACGTTATATTTGCTGCATTTTTGAATCACAAAAACATAGGATCTACATGTAATCACTTTTACTAAGAATAAAGAAGGGAATTCACATAAAACATAAGGTTGGCATCATGTTTGTCAGTTTTATAATGTGTGAGTAACATAATCTATACCGTCACAACTCATCAATGTGTAAATATGGACTTTTTATCAATTTATGCGCAACCGGATGAACATATATATATAATTATATAGTAAAGGATATACAATCAAGACATCTTCAAAAGCTAATAAGCTTACAATGATGTAGACGACAGAGAAAGATGAACCAGCCAGTTACAAAGTCATTCATAATGAGATGAAATATTGCTGTATCGCAATATTTTTCAAAAGCATATTTTTATATATCTACTTGGTGTTTTAACTTTGCAGATTACTACAAATTCTAACAGATATGCCAATAAGCATAAAGCAGGCTTTATTAATTCAAATTTTGTAATGGATGGACGGTTTGACAAAAATCTAAAATATATAATCCATATTATATATGATTAAGTTTGATAACATCCTGACAACAATTCATTATAAAACTGAATTACAAATTTGAGCACATCCTTCCTATGACAATATATCGGGACACGTATCGCAATATATTCGTTTTGTATTGCAATATATCGTGATACACTCTTGGCGTATTGTGACACCCCTAGTGATCAATAATAGGTGTTTTGCTTAGATATTAATAAATACTGGGTTATCAATATGTGCAATCTGTATCTGTTTCAGTTTCGAAATCAATATGACAATGATGTCACAGTTTGGAGCCCACAGGTAAAAATCATTGTAAATTACCATAATATTGTGCTTTCAACAGTGTATATGCTTATTATGCTAATTGTTTATTTCTTTCAAAAATGATTATTACTTTAAAAATCTTCTAATTGAGGTTATATTTACACACACACACACACACACACACACACACACACACACACACACACACACACACACATAAACATCATACTTCATATTTATGTGTGTGGATATGCAAACTCAATTATTCCTCAGCAGACAATCAAGTTCCTATTGTAGCAAATTTTCTTCATCATGTATTTTATCTTATCAATTTGAACTAGCATTCAAGTGTAAGGATATGAAAACTGACAAAGTACAGAGAAACATTTCAATTATTTTTGGTATTGTGTTTTGTTATTGATTTTTTTTATATTTTCAATGTTTACCAATGTATTTTGCCACAGGGTCGTATTCACCAAATTGAGTATGCCATGGAGGCTGTCAAGCAAGGGTCAGCCACTGTAGGTCTCAAATCCAAAACACATGCCATCCTCGTGGCTCTGAAGGTAAGTATCAAAACACTTGCAGCTACTACTTCTGTATAAGTTTGAAAGCAACATGTAATGACGTAAGTTGGTTGTTCAATATATATGCTTGTTAAAACTAATAACTTGTTAAACTAATTGTTAAAACACAGGTTGTCTCAGTAGATGTAGCTTTTTAAAGTAACAGTTCATGACAAATAGTTACTACAATGTAAGTATCACATGCTAGCCTTATCACCTCCAGATTATATGTACCAGTCCAGGTGAACCACCATGTAGAATGAGATCACTCTCACATGTAAATCATAATGGAGATCATTAATTGGGAAATCTTTTTATCACAAGTTACCTACCTACCGATCCAATGTTAAATTATTTATCAAGCAGAGTTGTAAAAAGTTGTCTTTTTATTTCTTAATCTACTTTTCATATGCATGTGATATTTCTAGATTGAAATGAAATCAGCATTGCCTGCTCTATCTGAAAACTCCATGGCGGTCAAAGATCACACATACCTTGTTTCAAATTTAAATTTGTGGAGACAACTTTTTGATCTGTTTAAGATTTTGTGGGGATGGAAAGCTCCCAATATTGTTTTCTGTGGTAATGGGTTGAATGTTTTTCAGAGAGCTCCATCAGAGTTATCCGCCCATCAGAAGAAAATCATCCCTATAGATGACCATGTGGGTGTGTCAATAGCAGGTCTGACAGCTGATGCCCGCCTTCTTAGGTAAAGGTTTTATAAAACTACTGTTGCTAATTTCTGCCACAAAGGTTTACATAGCAACTGCAGCTAACTTCACAAGTAAGGTTTTACATTGCTATTGAGGTTAACTCACAAAGGTTATACTGTACTGAATATAATTTCACAGTTAGGATTTGATAACACTATTGTGGTTAAGTTAACTTCTGAGCAAATGTTTATACTACTGCTAAATCTAATTTCACAGGTAAGACTTTATAAGACTGTTGCAGTTAACTTTTGTGAAGATATTTTATGTAGTAACTCAAGCTAGCGGTTAAGGTGAAGTTATTTATATAGTAACTCAAGCTAGCGTTTAAGGTGAAGTTATTTATATAGTAACTCAAGCTAGCGTTTAAGGTGAAGTTATTGATATAGTAACTCAAGCTAGCGTTTAAGGTGAAGTTATTTATATAGTAACTCAAGCTAGCGTTTAAGGTGAAGTTATTTATATAGTAACTCAAGCTAGCGTTTAAGGTGTAGATAGTAACTCAAGCTAGCTTTTAAAGTGAAGATATTTTATATAGTAACTCAAGCTAGCTTTTAAGGTGAAGATATTTTACAGACATTGTGGTTAACTTCAGAGGTAAAATGTCCTATAAATAAATGGCTGTTGTGATGTTGGTGTATGCCTTATGTTGATTATGGTTTTGGTTTATTTCAGTAATTTCATGAGAGCTGAGTGCCTGGACTCCAGATATGCCTATGATCAGCCCCTCCCTATATCTCGTCTGGTCGGCTCCATCGGCTCAAGTATCCTTGACTGGAGATCACATTCATGTTTTATGTCTTTAATTGACTGGTTATTATACGCCCGCTGAAATTTGACTGGGGTATTATGGTATAGCGTCTCTGTCCGTCCGGTTAAAGTTTGGGTGCAAGTTTCTTTAGTGGTGTATAGTTCAGTCAGATTATGTGTTATTGTCCTAATTTTTGGCATGGATGTTCATGTGGGGTCTTTCAAGGACAATATGGGTTTTATTTGAGAAAATAATTCCTATTTTTGTAAATTGTATATACAAAGCCAATTATGGTAGACATGTCCCTATAAACCCACAAGTCAAACAAATTAAGGGGAGTCAAAAACATAATCTCAAGGGTCTACTGTATGCCCTGATTACTAGGCAGTAGGCAGTACATTAGCACAGAACCAATTACATAAATGTGAACATTACAGTGATGACAATCACTCTTGGTAACAAATGCATCAGTGCAAGCATTTTTATCATATAGACATGACACTGGCTACCAGGTACTTTAAATATCAAACAAACCAAAAATCATTGGATAGGGCCAGACGGGCGTATTATGCATCCGTTTGTGGTGCTCTTGTTTAAAATCTAGGAGAGATGTTAGATGTAGGAATTAGATTAACTTGTACCTGTATCTTGACTAATGAAAAAAAAGACTTCAATACTTTCTAACATTATGTTGGAATTGTATATGATCGGTGTCCAGTCAATAATCCAAAAAGAGTTACCTTGTAAATGTTATAAAATAGCTCTGTAATATGAGTGGAGCATTTGAGTATATATCATGAAGTACCTTAACATGTCCCAGAGTCACAAATCCCTACCCAGAGATATGGGCGACGGCCATTTGGTGTCGGTCTCTTAGTTGCTGGCTATGATGTAAGTATTTCCCAGGACGAAAGAATAGTACATATCTATGAATTTCAAGGAAAGCAAAATGTCAAGACAATATTATAAGTAGACTTACAAAATATGATGCATATCTTACAGTTTTCAGCTGTTGGACACAAAAGTATAATCTTTATGTAATAACTACACATATTGTAATATACCTTATGTCTGTGTTCAATGATTCCAGAGTCGAATAATTCTGACTTTCAATAAATGAATATGTGTCTATGTAGTCTTAATATTTAAAATAAAATACATGTAAAAGTATTAAACAGCTTCAATTGGCATGCATAACTCAAATATTCATGTTCTAGTTGAGTATGAATGCCAACTGAAAGTATTACAATGTAATACTACAGCTATAGCCTATAGCTGTATAGAGAAAGGGGTTGTCTTATTGGGTCGTGTGTGACAGTGTATCATTTACAAAGTAATACTACAGCTAAAGCCTATAGCTGTATAGAGAAAGGGGTTGTCTCATTGGGTCATGTGTGTCAGTGTATCATTTACAATGTAATACTACAGCTATAGCTGTATATCTGTATAGAGAAAGGGGTTGTCTCATTGGGTCATGTGTGACAGTGTATCATTTACAATGTAATACTACACCTATAGCCTATAGCTGTATAGAGAAAGGGGTTGTCTCATTTGGTCATGTGTGACAGTGTATCATTTACAATGTAATACTACAGCTAAAGCCTATAGCTGTATAGAGAAAGGAGTTGTCTCATTGGGTCATGTGTGACAGTGTATCATTTACAATGTAATATTACAGCTATAGCCTATAGCTGTATAGAGAAAGGGGTTGTCTCATTGGGTCATGTGTTTCAGTGTATCATTTACAATGTAATACTACAGCTATAGCCTATGTATCATTTACAATGTAATACTACAGCTATAGCTGTACAGAGAAAGGGGTTGTCTCATTGGGTCATGTGTGTCAGTGTATCATTTACAATGTAATACTACAGCTAAAGCCTATAGATGTATAGAAAAAGGGGTTGTCTCATTGGGTCATGTGTGACAGTGTATCATTTACAGTGTAATACTACAGCTAAGGCCTATAGCTGTATAGAGAAAGGTGTTGTCTCATTGGGTCATGTGTGTCAGTGTATCATTTACAATGTAATACTACAGCTATAGCCTATAGCTGTATTTAGAAAGGGGTTGTCTCATTGGGTCATGTGTGACAGTGTATCATTTACAATGTAATCCTACAGCTAAAGCCTATAGCTGTATAGAGAAAGGTGTTGTCTCATTGGGTCATGTGTGACAGTGTATCATTTGCAAATAATTTGAAACCTACGATTCAGATTAGGTTCAGTATGTGAGATTATTGCTGTTTGTATTTAAGACTACAAGGGTTGTCTCATTGGGTCATGTGTGACAGTGTATCATTTACAATGTAATACTAGAGCTAAAGCCTATAGCTGTATAGAGAAAGGGGTTGTCCCATTGGGTCGTGTGTTACAGTGTATCATTTACAATGTAATACTACAGCTAAAGACTATAGCTGTATAGAGAAAGGGGTTGTCTCATTGGGTCATGTGTGTCAGTGTATCATTTACAATGTAATACTACAGCTAAAGACTATAGCTGTATAGAGAAAGGGGTTGTCTCATTGGGTCATGTGTGTCAGTGTATCATTTACAATGTAATACTACAGCTAAAGACTATAGCTGTATAGAGAAAGGGGTTGTCTCATTGGGTCATGTGTGACAGCGTATCATTTACAATGTAATACTACAGCTAAAGACTATAGCTGTATAGAGAAAGGGGTTGTCTCATTGTGTCATGTGTGACAGTGTATCATTTACAATGTAATAATACAGCTAAAGCCTATAGCTGTATAGAGAAAGGTGTTGTCTCATTGGGTCATGTGTGACAGTGTATCATTTGCAAATAATTTGAAACCTACGATTCAGATTAGGTTCAGTATGTGAGATTATTGCTGTTTGTATTTAAGACTACAAGGGTTGTCTCATTGGGTCATGTGTGACAGTGTATCATTTGCAAATAATTTGAAACCTACGATTCAGATTAGGTTCAGTATGTGAGATTATTGCTGTTTGTATTTAAGACTACAAGGGTTGTCTCATTGGGTCATGTGTGACAGTGTATCATTTGCAAATAATTTGAAACCTACGATTCAGATTAGGTTCAGTATGTGAGATTATTGCTGTTTGTATTTAAGACTACAAGGGTTGTCTCATTGGGTCATGTGTGACAGTGTATCATTTGCAAATAATTTGAAACCTACGATTCAGATTAGGTTCAGTATGTGAGATTATTGCTGTTTGTATTTAAGACTACAAGGGTTGTCTCATTGGGTCATGTGTGACAGTGTATCATTTACAATGTAATCCTACAGCTAAAGCCTATAGCTGTATAGAGAAAGGGGTTGTCTCATTGGGTCATGTGTGACAGTGTATCATTTACAAATAATTTGAAACCTACGATTCAGATTAGGTTCAGTATGTGAGATTATTGCTGTTTGTATTTAAGACTACAATTATCTGTTCTATAAGTAGCATAAAAACTATTTGTTCTATGTGTACAACTAAACTGTATCTGTTATGTACATAAGGCTAAAATTGTAGGTGTTCTATATACAATACAACAACTGTCTATTCTATGTATTAAACTACAACTGTAGCTGTTATATACATAAGGCTAAAATTGTAGGTGTTCTATATATAATATAACAACTGTCTATTCTATGTGTAAAACTACAACTGTAGCTGTTACATACGGCTAAAATTGTAGGTGTTCTATATGCAATACAACAACTATAACTGTTTATGCTGCAGTCTATGGGGCCACACATATACCAGACCTGTCCTTCAGCTAACTACTATGACTGTAAATGCATGGCCATCGGAGCCCGGTCGCAGTCAGCCCGAACATACCTAGAAAAGTACATATCCAAGTTTGGGGAGTGTAAGTACCATATGAATCTACTAAACTCCTGTTTTCTTTGGCGAAAAGAAGAATTCAACTTTTACTTGATGCATAGTATCAACAGAATCAACATGCAGACTCCAGAAACATAGTTTGTACTGTTAAATGTTAGATGTAAAGACTTTCTTAATAACACACCAGTGCACTGTTAGACTGGTATTATAAATAACACACCAGTGCACTGTTAGACTGGTATTATAAATAACACACCAGTGCACTGTTGGACTGGTATTATAAATAACACACCGGTGCACTGTTAGACTGGTATTATAAATAACACACCAGTGCACTGTTAGACTGGTATTATAAATAACACACCAGTGCACTGTTAGACTGGTATTATAAAGTCTGCTGTTCTGGTTTAGAATCATTTCTCCATCTCTTCTGTTAACACTTATGTGTATGCCAATTTGAATGTCTTCAATATATATAAGAGTTTGCATGATCCCATCATGTTTGGAGATAATGAGGTTAAACTGTAGATGACATTGTAAATTTATTGATTTTGCTATTGAATAGGTACACTGGAGGAGTTGGTTAAGCATGGTCTACGGGCCCTTAGGGATACACTGCCATCTGAAGTGGAGCTCACTACAAAGGTAAGCATGGTCTACGGGCCCTGAGGGATATACTGCCAACCAAAGTGGAGCTCACTACAAAGGAAAGCATGGTCTACGGGCCCTGAGGGATATACTGCCAGCCAAAGTGGAGCTCACTCCAAAGGTAAGCTTGGTCTACGGCCCCTTAGGGATATACTGCCATCCCAAGTGGAGCTCACCACAAAGGTAAGCATGGTTTACAAGCCCTGTGGGACACAATGCCATCCGAATGTGAGCTCACTACAAAGGTAAGCATGGTCTACGGGCCCTTAGGGATACACTGCCATCCGAAGTGAAGCTCACTACAAAGGTAAGCATGGTCTACGGGCCCTTAGGGATATACTGCCATCCAAAGTGGAGCTCACTACAAAGGTAAGCATGGTCTACGTGCCCTGAGGGATATACTGCCATCCCAAGTGGAGCTCACCACAAAGGTAAGCATGGTTTACAAGACCTGTGGGATACACTGCCATCTGAAGTGGAGCTCACTACAAAGGTAAGCATGGTTTACAAGCCCTGTGGGACACAATGCCATCCGAATGTGAGCTCACTACAAAGGTAAGCAAGGTCTACTGGTCCTGAGGGATACACTGCCGTCTGAAGTGGAGCTCACTACAAAGGTAAGCATGGTCTACGGGCCCTGAGGGATATACTGCCATCCGAAGTGGAGCTCACTACAAAGGTAAGCATGGTCTACAGGCCCTTAGGGATACACTGCCATCCAAAGTGGAGCTCACTACAAAGGTAAGCATGGTCTACGGGCCCTGAGGGATACACTGCCATCCGAAGTGGAGCTCACTACAAAGGTAAGCATGGTTTACAAGCCCTGTGGGACACAATGCCATCCGAATATGAGCTCACTACAAAGGTAAGCAAGGTCTACAGGCCCTGTGGGATACACTGCCATCCGAAGTGGAGCTCACTACAAAGGTAAGCATGGTTTACAAGCCCTGTGGGACACTCTGCTGTCCTAAGTTGAGCTCACCACAAAGGTAAGCATGGTTTACAAGACCTGTGGGATACACTGCCATCTGAAGTGGAGCTCACTACAAAGGTAAGCATGGTTTACAAGCCCTGTGGGACACAATGCCATCCGAATGTGAGCTCACTACAAAGGTAAGCAAGGTCTACTGGTCCTGAGGGACACACTGCCGCCCAAAGTGGAGCTCACTACAAAGGTAAGCAAGGTCTACTGATCCTGTGGGACACACTGTTATTCATGACAGACCTCTCCAGGTGTATTGGCATTGGAGAACACACTGTCATCTGATGTGGTACTCACCACAGCTCACATATCTGTAGGGCAGCAATACTCGGTGATATTGCTGATATTTAATTTTAGTTTGGAATTTGTGCATATTTGTTTTTCTGCTGACATTTTATTAACTGATTATTATGTTATTAGTCCTAGTGGTATTACAGTTGGACATTTTCTCTTAATTACATGCTATAGGAATGGCAGGGTGTCATGTGCTGAAATAGAATTTCAAGCCTCAAAGAACTAGAGATTTTGTTTATTTTTTATACCAAAGTTTGGAGCTGTGTTCTTTGTGATTTGTATGAATATAAAAGTTAGTGTGAATAGATAAGATCAGTAGTCATTCTGTATAAAGGTAATGTCGCATTGTGATTTGTATGAATATAAAAGTTAGTGTGAATAGATAAGATCAGTAGTCATTCTGTATAAAGGTAATGTCGCATTGTCTTTTGTATGAATATAAAAGTTAGTGTGAATAGATAAGATCAGTAGTCATTCTGTATAAAGGTAATGTCGCATTGTGATTTGTATGAATATAAAAGTTAGTGTGAATAGATAAGATCAGTAGTCATTCTGTATAAAGGTAATGTCGCATTGTCTTTTGTATGAATATAAAAGTTAGTGTGAATAGATAAGATCAGTAGTCATTCTGTATAAAGGTAATGTCGCATTGTCTTTGATAAAAACTGTTTGCTCTAGAAATATCCATATTTGACGAATGGTACCGTTGGAGCCAGTTCAATTGTTTATTTGATCCTAACAAGAATGGGTTTTATTTTACAGAATTGCTCTCTAGGAATTGTTGGAAAAGACATGGATTTCACAATCTATGATGATGATGCTGTAACACAATACGTATCCTTTTGTATAAACAATTAAGTAGTTTGCTGATTGTTTTGTTCTTCCCAAATAAAACTGATTTCTTTTTTCACATGTTATTTCTGTAAGTCTTTACGTCTTTTATCAATGAATTATGATTTGTGTTGTAGCGCAAAGAATACTCTTACTGAGGGGGTATATTAGGAGTATATGTGGAACATAGAAAAGAGTGCTCTCACTGAAGGTATATATGAGGAGGTAGTTTAAATGGTACTCTAACTGAGGGATATGGTAGTTAAGTTTGAGTATACAGAGTGCCTTCTCTGAGGAGATGTATCCGGAATTAAATTGTGTGATTTAGCAAGTGTTTATTGATAGTTTGCTCAGCAAACTTGAAAAATGAAAGCTACAGAACTAAAATGACCAAATGTGAAGGCTGAATATTATTATCAGTAACTAGCATTTTGAATAACCTATACATTGAATTAACTGGAGTAAATAAAGTTATAAAATGAGGTGTGGTGACTGGTGGTATTAACCTTGACTTTATAAAGCTGGCCATGGTTGAAGGTGAAGACAAGGATCGAGGATCCCCAGGGGAGGGGGAGCAAGCTGAGGATGCTGCGGTAAGTACAATGTCTACACAATAATCAGATCAACTCCACAGAACCACTGCGATTAGAGGTTTAATGTATTTGAGGTAGGGTTACCATGTCATATGTATATACCTCTTGACTTAGTTTTGAAGATTATGGGAAGCCATTCGTACATCTGACTTGGTTTACATAAATAGGGTTACAATTTGTATTATCTGTACCTCAGACTCCAGTTAACTACGAAGTAGACTATTAAAAAACATAAGCAGTTGATAATTCACAAGGATTGGAACATGGTAATGTTTAGATTTTCATATACAGAAGATGTGTGATGAAAAGGCGACTTTCAGTTTGTGACATTTGTGTGAGGACTTCCTATTGGTCTTACCTGTTTAATGTCTGTTGCAGTCTCCAATGGAGGTACTGCCAGAGGATGGACAGGCAGCACCACCCGCTGACCCTGCCCCTGGTGCACCAGAAGGGGAGGACCAGCAGGCTATGGAACACTGACCAATCTTCAAGGCAGCCTGGTCATGTGTAATTGAATTGACCATTCAAACTCATCATCAGTCATGTGACATGTTATTGACCATTCACACCCATTCTGTTTTTGTCATGCCACAAGAAACTCTAGACATTTGTAAAAATTCTATTGTCATGCAACATAAAACTTTGGACATTTGTAAATACTTTATTGTCATCTGACAGTAACTAGAAGATTGATGAACAAATTGAGAGATGAGCAATGGACCTGGAATTGTTAAGCAGTATCTCAGGTTGGGTTGGTGTATGGATGGAGACTGAAAACAGACCAAGCTGCAAGGGCACAAGGTGTGGCTTACAGTGGGAGTCTAATATCATACTTAACGGGGGTTTCAATGTTATGTACTTGTGAGTGTAAACAGTACACATTGTGAAGGATTTGTACACGGGGAGCAGTAGATGTAAGTGTGTATTACATCTGTGTTGTTGAATGAGGAACTGTAATGCTATCTATACCTTACTGTTAGTCAATAAGCAATCCTGTACAAGACCCTGTGCTACGTTGACCTCTTAACAGTGCTATGTACACCTCTTATAGTGCTATGTACACTACCAAGTCATCAATGAGAGTCATCTACAATGTTATATTTATTGACAAGGAATAAACAGGTTTACATCAACTCGTTAAGTTTTCCTCATTTTTCAGCTGCAGCTCAAACATGGCCTTGATTTGTTTTTGAGGTTAGAGGATGGCACAGATTTTATGTGATATTTGATGTATACAGTAAATACAAAAGCATGTAAAAAAAAATCGGAAAAATTGCAGGCTGCTTCATTCCTTTCAGTCATACCTAATATAACGGCCATTCACAAAATATTGAAAGAGAATTGAAAATATATCTTTTTAATTATCAGAAGATATGTATTTGATAATATCATTTCCCACATCCCAATATGGCAAATACCTTTTAATTGTATTATTAGCTCACCGGGTCCGAAGGACCTAGCTGAGCTAATGCCATACCATGGCGTCCGTCTGTCAACAATTTCTTTAAACGACTTCTTCTTCTTAACCACTGATTGGAATTTAACTAAATGTGACTGGAAGCATTCCTAGGTGGTAGGGATTCAAAATTGTACAAATGGTGGGGCTGACCCCCAAGGGTGCTGAGGGGTGGGGCCAAAAGGGGGCAATTTGGCTTTATTGCTTTAACCGACTTCTCTGGAACTAAGAGATGGATATCAACCATATTTGACTGGAAGCATTCCTAGGTGGTGGGGATTCAAAATTGTTCAAATCTTGTGGCTGACCCCCCAGGGAGCTGAGGGGCAGGGCCAAAAGGGGGCAATTTGGCTATATTGCTTTAAGCGACTTCTTCTCTGGAACTAAGAAATGGATATCAACCATATTTGACTGGAAGTATCCCTAGGTGATGGGGATTCAAAATTGTACAAATCTTGGGGCTGACCCCCCAGGGAGCTGAGGGACAGGGGCCGAAAGCAGGAAATTTGGCTATATTGCTTTAAGCGACTTCTTCTCTGGATCTAAGAGTTGGATATCAACCGTATTTGACTGGAAGCATCCCTAGGTGGTGGAGATTCAAAATTGTACAAATTTTAGGGCTGACCCCCCGGGCTAAGGGGTTGGGCCAAAATAAGTTTATCACTTGGAAATGGTTGTGATCCCCACCGTATATAACCATATATATAATTGCTGAGTATGAAGAGAAGAATGCACAGTTGTTTCCAGGATGGCTCTAGGGTCTGGCCCCCCCCTTGGAGACATAGTCCCTGGGTCATAACTTTGAAATGGTTGAGATCCCATCCCCAAAACTATATATACAAATGCTGGGCATAAAGAGATGAATGCAGTCATGATAATAGAATAGACCCTGGGGTCTGACTGAACCCCTAGGGACCTAGTTTCTTAGTCGCAGCTTGGAAACAGTTGAGATCCCCACCCTATAACCATATATACAATTGCTTAGTATAAAGAAATGAATGCACATATGCTTCCAGGATGGCCTTTGGGTTTGCCCCACCCTTGGAGACTTAACCTCTGGGTCGTAACTTTGAAATGGTTAAGATCCCCACCCCAAAACTATATATACAATTGTTGGGCATAAAGAGACGAATGCAGTCATGTTATTAGAATTGATCCCAGGGTCTGCCCCACCTTTGCAGACTTAACCCCTGGGTCATAACTTAGAAACGGTTGAGATCCCCACCCCAAAACTGTAAATACAAATGCTGGGCAAAAAGAGACGAATGCAGTCATGATATTAGAATTGATCCTGGATTGGCCTTGGGGTCTGGCATATTCCCTTGGATCTCATTTGGAGAATTTTTTGCCATGATTGCTTAGATATCTAGGTGAGCGATACAGGCCCTCTGGGCCTCTTGTTTATGAAACAAATTTGCAGTATCAAATTAAGGACCAGTAAGAGACAACAATTTATTGATACTTCTCAATTCTCTTTTCAAATTAACAGCAGTATTCATCTTGTGAAATTCAAGCAATCTACACTGTAAACCCTTTTTCTCGGACAGTACTGGAAGGATCTTTTCAAAATTACACATTTAGCTTCCTAATAATCCCTAGTTGTGCTGTGCATGTTGAATTTTGAGACGATCTAAAAATCAAGATGGCCAACATGTGGCTATCTTAAACTTTGAAAGATAAAGTTTGTTATCACTATTTCTAAGGTACTGGGCATGCTCATTTTTAGGTTGGTCAGAGAAACATGTCCACCAGTAGCCATCATTGATTTCAGTTTGTTATCACTTTTTTCCCTAAGTACTAGACAGATCTTTCTCAAATTTCGAAAGTAGATTCCACTTGTGACACATTAGGTAAGGACAACTTTGTTACAAGAATTATGTCATAAATAGTGCAGTATGAAGTTCTGATCAAAAGGTCCAGAAGGTGCATTTACTATTTACATGATAGATAGACAGATAGAATCAGCAGATAGGAGGAAACAAGAGAAACTTTCAATCAAATAGACCTATTATGAAGATAGTACAATGATGGATGTCAAGATGGGATCTTTTGATGAAACTAGATTCTAGTAAATGAGAATTTAAACTATTGGCAAAGGGAAGCAATCCCTAAACAGAGTGTTGTATTCCTTTTGATATGAAGTATAGCATGTTACCTATTTTTCTAACTGAACAAACTGTCACAAAAGAATAAACAATATTAGAAAAAGACAATAGTTTTATTAAAATCCAATAAACAAAACGAGTCTCAATAATATTCTGTATAGTCAACTTCATTTATAACGAAGAACACTATTTAAGTGTACCGGTATAAAACTTCAGTTCAAATTTCACTCTCATATTTAAATGTTTGCTGAAGACATTTTGACCAAGAATTGTAAAAAAGTGCAGTGATAATAACTTTTGTCACAATAAAAGCCTGCTATACAACATAGATCTAACACATGTCAAGGTCTCTCTCTTTTTTTTTTTTTCCATTTCATTTCAATAATGTTTCCACTCCATGTATACAAAAACATTAAATTACATATACTTAATTATTAAAATAATAAAGATGCACTAACCTCATAACATTTTGTATAAACATATAAACGTATATTAAAAATGTAAGCAAAATTATGTATATTAAATCTACTTAACAACTCCAGATAAAACTAATATAATGAGCAGTACATAACAGTTTTATTTAATAGGCAAATACAAGGAACACAATTCATTCAAGGCACGACGTGGTGTGTGTAAAACATTATCAAGTAAGAAAGGTAGACTAAAATTTCCATTGTGTAACAGATCTGAAACAACAATTCCCACTGGTTACTGTGTTTGATTTCCATTGTGTTACAGATCTTAAACAACAATTCCCATTGGTTACTGTGTTTGATTTCCATTGTGTAACAGATCTGAAACAACAATTCCCACTGGTTACTGTGTTTGATTTCCATTGTGTTACAGATCTTAAACAACAATTCCTATTGGTTACCGTGTTTGATTTTCTCTATGTTCTTGGTTTCTCTCTAGATGGTGATATAACAATAAGAGGAGAGCTCAATTACCCGTTGTCTCCTTTGGTGACTGCATCATGAATACTCATCAGCTCATTATGAGGTAAAATGATCAGTCAGTTACAAGGATTATGAATTGATGGTGTATCAAATCCAAAATGTCTTTGTCTATACTATATTTTTGGTTTTGTATGTAACACAGTGTTGCTAAATGGTAACTTAGTGGATTATTGGTCCCTACATACAACTATACACTACGAGTAAAGATCAGCAGAGTATGAAGTATAACTGTTCACCTATATGTTTAACACTTCTTAAACTTGCGCTATAAAGTAAATACAATCATTTCAACAATAATATAATGTATTTGTTAATCAATGTTGACAATGCTCATCACAGGAAATACAATTATTTAAAAAACAAAATGAGTAATCAGATCTAGTATTCTGTTACAAAATATATTATATATACCATACTAGCTGAATAAATTAAAATGAAAAACAAAGTAAACATGCAGTGTTATAATATAATTATTAAATGAACCCAACACTAAAACATGTATATATCATAGGATAAGTTAATGCTGTTTGCTCTCTAGAACCATTTCCACAGGGCCATGACATCTCTAGTGACAACATCCTACAAACTTTTACAGTGCTATTCCCATTTTTACCGTTTACAATGGCATTTTCATAATGTTGCTATTTCGAAAAATCAAGGATCATTTCTTAGAGTTTTGGATTCTCCTAACAGCTAAGGTTACAAAAATGGTATCGTGATATTCCACGCGGTCACTTGATTCTGACAACAGGCTAACCGGAGATGCCAAAGGAGACACTGTTGAAAAGTATAAAAAGGATAGTAGAAATCTACAAGTGTTGTAATGGGGGCAACAGATCAATTAACATTTCTACCAAAATAACAATATAAAACTAACACACTCTAAACTGCAGGGACATAATCCATTAAAATGGGAGTAAACTATCAAAGTTTCAATAATAAATTTAGGAGTAATTATCGTGACAAGTCTTCAAATAAAGGGAAATAACTCTCTTTAAAGGGGAGGAAACTACATGTGATGGACAAAGTTTTCTTGAAATCAAGCATGTAGTTTAGGGTGCGAGTGTCTCGTGAATTTCTGTCTGTGGAGAGATAAACTGATTCCAATATTATGGTATAACATAAACCATGTCACGTATTCTAAATACCTATGTTAAATACATCTTACCATACCACCATGTAAAAACACATGGTTTAACAGTAATTATGGCAAGTATATTGTGCATATAAAATATTTCAATTAAACTTATTAAACCAGTTATCATAATACCATTAACTGTTTGTAAAGTCATGATAACTCCTTAATCTGAACAACACGTACATACAATGTCATCATCACATAACACGTACATACAATGTCATCGTCACATAACATGTACATACAATGTCATCATCACAACATGTACATACAATGTAATCATCACATAACATGTACATACAATGTCATCATCACATAACTTGTACATACAATGTCATCATCACATAACATGTACATACAATGTCACCATCACATAACATCTACATACAATGTCATCATCACATAACATGTACGTAAAATGTCATCATCACATAACATGTACATACAACGTCATCATCACAACATGTACATACAATGT